TTTTTAATGCCTCGTTTTAAGTTCAGTAAGAAACATTTGACACACGGTTTTCTCATTTGAACTTAAATTTTTTGTTTTTGTTTTTTTTTTCTTCCTTTTTTTTTTGATTCGCGTTCTTTTCTTTTTTTTTTCTTTTTTTCTTTCTTTCTTTCTTTCTTTTTCGGTTCTTCTCATATTTTTATTTTTATTTTTTTTTTTTTTATTTTTGTATCATCTTTTCATTTTTTTCTTTTTTTTCTAAAATTTTTTCCAAAAATTCGAAGAAAAAAAATAGAAAAATAATTGAAAAAATATTCCATCGATTGGAATATTTTTTGTTGTTGTTTTTATTTACCTCACTTTTCGTTTGTATCATTTTTTTTTTCATTTTTGTTTTATTTTTTCTCAATTCAAAAATTCAACTTTTTTTTTCTTTTCAACGAAGTTTACAGACAAAAAAAAAATAATTAAATTGGATAAAAAAAAAAAAAAAAAAAAAAAGAAATATAGTTGGAAAAATATTTGAGTGGTGCACCCATCGATTGGAATATATATTTTTTTAATTTTTTTTTTTAATTTTTATTTAAATAAAAGATTTTCGTTTAATAAAAAAAGAAAAATTGAACGAAAGAAACGTAAAAGATGAGAAAGAGATAGAGATAGAGATAGAAATAGAGAGAGATAGGGATATATGTGTAAGAAGATTAGGCGTGCAACTAAACCAAAAAAAAAAAAAAAATAAAGAAATAAAAAAAGAAAAATTTGAGAAGCTGATTGGCGGTGTGTTTGAGAAATTAGCCCAATTTTGTTTTTTTGTTTATTTTAAAAACTACAGCTCCAAGCTCATAGATAGTTTAACACTTTGACGGTCACACGTTTCAAAAAAAGAATTGCGCTTGTAGCGGGCACATTTTGTCAGCTTAGGGTTGCGTCAGAATTTCTTTTTGTCAGCTAATAATCGCTGGCTCGTGTTAGGCCGTCAAAGTGTTAAAAATTGCGCTCGATGAAGAAGCGTTTTTATTTGTTTGATTTTCATTAGAAATGTAGAAAGATTTAAGCCAACTTACTGGCTAGTCTTTTAGGCGCAGGAAGATCACCTTCAGGTGGAGATCTCTTCATTGGTACACCTGACTCGATCGACGTAGGTGGTACAGGTGGTGGTGGTGGTGGTGGTGGTGGTGGTAAAGATGGTGGTGGTAAACTCAAATCGTCACTGCACATTGGACTCCTAGAATTCTCGTGATCCTGGCTTTGCTGTTGCTGTTGTTGTTGTTGTTGTTGCTGTTGTTGTTGTTGTTGTTGTTGTGGTTGTTGTTGTGATGGTGGTGGTGGTGGTGGTGGTTGTTGTTGTTTCGCATCGGTGAACAGATGGGATGGCATATCGCGTATTTTGTGTGTCAGCATGTGCTGTTTCATGTTGCCCTGCGAATTAGAATTGTAACATTCTTTAAATCTCGTTAATGTTGTTGTTGTTGTTTTTTTTTTTTTAGAGAAAGAATTTTTTTTTAGGTACATTAGTTTATTCTTTTTCTAAATTCTAAATAAAATAGTCGAATATTTCATTTGGTTATTGCACCTAGTGATAATTCAATTTGATTTGAATGAATGATAGGATTACACGTTCACTCAGTTGAATGAGCCAGAAACCAGATAATATCAAGAATGAAAACTATGATTAATTTTTTTGTTCAAATATATATATATTTATATACATTAAAGTATCATAAGTCCAGCTCAATCGATCAAGTGAACCCCTCCCCACTGTTGAATAATTAAAAGTCGACAGTGGAAAGAAAGAAGAAAGGGCTGCGTGTGTGTGATGTGTGGTTCTGGAGTGTCCCTTACCAGGAAGACGTGGTCCGAGGTGAGAAGTCCGAGGGCGGGTGGCATCAGCGGGGGCAGGCGGACGGTTGAATAGATCGACGTCAGCCCCCGCCCCCCTCCTGTCCCGGTCCGCCCCCGGTTCTTCCGTTCCTCAGGCCTCCGCCGCCTGCGTTTGGGTTTCTCCTCGTTTCCGCTAGTCGACGTTCTTCTATCCTCGTTCTGATATCGGTTATTCGTTTGTTGTTGTTGTTGTTGTTGTTGTTGTTGAGTTGTACTGCCCTTTATGGTAAAGGGCTTACGTTGTTCCGCGCACGAAGAGCATACGTCTGATCCAGCATTCTGAAATTATCCGTACAATAATGGCCCCTAATCCAATTACCAATAAACTTTCTTTTCAGCTAATTTTAAGCTAAGCTTTTCTACTTGGTTTTTCTATATTTTTATTTCATTTTTTTATACCCCTACTTTTATTCCCCCACTTTGATTTGTTACTTAAGCTATGCTTTCTACTTGGCTTTGTATTTTTTAGGTATTTATATTTTTTTTATTTATTTAATTTGTTTAAATCTATTCCTAATACTACTCCCATCCTGATCTACGACTAAACTTGGTTTTTGTATTTTTTTATTTTTATTTTTTTTTAATCCTATTCCTATTACTACCCCCACCCTGATTTGGAACTAAAGCTAAGCTTTCTACTTGGTTTTGCAATTTTTATGTTTATAATTTATTTATTTATTTATTTTCTTTAACTGTACTTTTATTTCCCACTTTGATTTGGGACTCAATCTAAGCTTTCTACTTTGTTTTGTATTTTTTAGGTATATATATTTTTATTTATTTATTTAATTTGTTTAAACCTATTCCTCATACTATCCCCCACCCTGATCTGGGACTATTTTTTACTATCGATTTGTTTTTTTTTTTTATAAGAAAAATATATTCAGAATGAAGTAACGTTAACATCGTCAGCAGCATCAATCAGCAGCAGCAGCAGCAGCAGCAGCAACAGCAACAACAGGTAGAATTGTTTTCTTTGGCTAGATATTTGATTTATTTAATATTGAAATTACCTTTGTTGAAAATCCTCTGTCGCATACGGTGCATTTAAAAGGCCGTTCCTTCGTGTGACTTCGATAATGAATCTCCAGAGCAGAGTTGCACGCAAATGTCTTGTAGCAGATATTACACGTAGTATTTCCACGTACTGTAACAAATTTTACTGTTTAACATCGACGTCGGTTTCCAAGTTACTCTTTTTGTTTTTTTATTTTATTTTATTTTTTTTTTTCAAGGGACGATTCGAAAAGACGTACTTCATTTTTTCCCTTATTTTCTTGTCGATTTTCTACTATCCATTTTATTAATTTTATTTAAATTTTAACTACTTCATTTATCTATTTACTATCATTCGATTGAATAAAAAAGAAAAAAATAATAAATTAAATAAATAAAAAAAAAAAAAAACTACGAGTTATTTGTTTTTCTTTTTTTTTTTTTTGTATAATTTAACTATCATAATTTATACGAGTTATGTACGTGAAAATATTGTTTTTTTTTTTTTTATAGAATGCAATGCAATGCAATACAATGCAATGTAATGTAATGTAATGTAATGTGCAACGCTAGTCTTGTGTCTCTTTCTATCGAGATAAATCGTGCAATGAAATTTAATCAAAGTATATATCTATTAAAAGAATTTTATTTACAATTCTATTGGCAATGATAATTATGATATTTGAATATATAATAATAATAATAATAATAATAATAATAATAATAAATTAATTAATACGTGGAACATTTGTAAAGGAATGTAAGGGTGAATATTTCAAATACGAATAATATATATCTATATATATTGTATAATATATCGTTTATTTAATGAAATACATGAATTGATTAGGCATCAATAACCTTAGTCAAGAAAAAGTAAAAGGAATAAAAATATTATCAAATAATAATAATAATAATAATAATAATAATAATGATAATAATAATAATAACAGTACTAAAAAATAAAAAATGTTCCAAATATCCATTGCGAGTATTGAAAAAAAGAAAAAAAGAAAAAGACAAATTTTCTAAACTTATACAAACAATCTAATCACTTGCCAATCCGATTAATAGTCTCTTCACTTAGAACAATAACACGACAAATACTTGTAAGAAGATTTCATGTGACTTTTCTCGACAAATATCAAGGGCTTGTTGTTTGGGATGATACGTCAGAAACACAGTGAACTGGAAGTTGCAAAAGTATGATCGAAAATGGATCTTAAACACCTCGACGAGATTTTATAAGTGTGTTTTAATGGACGGTATGAGTGCTAGGTCCGGCTACACCACAACGGAAATTCATCGTGAATTGGGATTTAAGGGATTATTAGGAAAGGTCAGAAGGGTGAGGTGTAGAATGAGGGGATGAAATTGGGAAATTAGGGATCGATATTATTGTTTCAGGTAATGAAAGAATAAGTGGAACGTTGAAGTTGAGAAAAAGATAAAATATATTGGGTGTAGATAATATTAACAGATTTATGCTAAACAACATACACATACATATGTAATATATATATATATATATATGTCATAATTAACAAAAATTTACGCGTGAGAATTTGTACAAGTAACAAAGTGTGATAATCGCATTAATTATTTTATTAATTATGATAACTTAAAATATAAAATATAAATAATTATTATATATATATATATATGTATATTTGTTTATTATTTTCGATCATTCTTTGAATCTACCAAATTAGTCGACTATTCTTGACTTAAAAAAAAAAAAAACAACAACAAAAAATTGGTAGACGATTTAAAAATGATGAATTTTTTAATATTACTTAAATTAACAATCATACACAAAAGACTATGTTGTATAAAATTCATCTGTATACAAATATTTTCTACACCTAATACGAATAGATAGAAATAAAATATATAGATAAGATAAAAAAGATAGAAGAAATACAAAAGCAAGTGATGGGGGAGACGATGATCATTGGAAAGAATAAATGGGGGATATGAGAGTAGATTTGTCGTCAAATGTTAAGAAGAGAAGAAAGAAAAGATGTGATAAATATCGATAATATCATCATCATCATCATCATCATCATCATCATCATCATCATCATCGTCGGATATATGATAAATAAGAGGGAAGGTGTAGCAGGAACTGCAGCTCGTCCTGTTGCTAGCAGCGCCTACCTGCTGGCCCTCCTACAGCTAGGCCGAGCGGATTGTATGTCGACGTAGCAGCAAGTACTGCGGATGATGTCAAAGATGCTAGTGGTCCAGTGGCACTGCTGCCAGGAGGAGGTGGTGGTGGGACGGTATTCATCGAAGTAACACTGTTTATGCTGGACGAGGAACCCATTGTGCTGGTGGATGGCGAGGAGACCGTCTGCAAGAGGCCTGCGAACATTCCGAAAGGATGCGGCGCGTGATGGGGTGTCGTCGTTGTCTGGGGTGGCGGTGTTGCTGCTGACGACACTGATGCAGGTGTAGAAGAAGCTCGTGGGGTTAAATCAAGGGGTGCTGCACCACTTGGAGGGCTATTGCTTTTCTCGCTACCGTTGTAACGATGATACGTTGGTGATCTAGCAAGGACACTTGATCCCGTACCTATAGCTGTTGTTGTTATAGTTCGTACTTGATTTTCCAATGCCACCAATGACGTAGAAAAATTCGACGGTGATATTTCCCTTTGTTCGCTTTCTTCAGTCTCATGATCCTGTTCTTCTTCCGTATCCTGTATACACCTGTCTCGATTGATCTCGCACCTCTCGTCATCCTCCCTACGATCTTCCTCTTCGTCTTCTTGCTCTTCCACTTCCTCGTTATGTTCGTCCATGTATCTCTGTTGGTGTTGTTGTTGTTGTAGGTTTTGATTTTGTTGTTGTTGTGGTGGTGGTGGTGGTTGATTAAGTTGATGCTGATTAAGTTGATGATGTTGTTCGGGTTGATGGTGAAGTTGGTGTTGATGTTGATGTGATTGGGATTCTTCTTTAAGATCGGCATCGTTTTTCGGAAGTTGCCGTTCAATGGGGGGTTGTCGGGAAGGTGGAAATCCTAAAGTGAAACCCGAGCTCGACGGATGAATCGGTGGAAATACTTGAGGTAGGAAGGTAGCTAACGGATGATGCGCGTAACCCGGAGGGAGTTCACCCACTTCATCAGCTTGTATCTGCTCCAGACTGAGCTCTGTTGGCTCGCCTGTATGCAGACGTATGTGTTGTTGTAGTACGAGAGCGTTCGTGAATTTTTTATGACAAACGGGACATTGATGAAACACTCTTAACTGGGGTTTAGCACGGTGTACGCCCATATGGGTTTTAAGATTACCTTTAGTGGTAAAAGCTCGTCCGCATATTTTACATTTGAAAGGACGTTCCCCCGTATGCGTTCGATAATGCATTTGCAGTGCACTCTTGCAAGATAATACTCTGTGACATATTACGCATTGATTTGGATCAGTCAATTTGTGTTCTATGTTGTCGACCAATTGTTGCAGTTTCGATGTCTCTGACGTTTTCGTTATTTCTATAAGACTCTCCCAGGAATTGTCGTTGCTTCCAGGTCTTGGTAAAAGACTCGAGTATATCGCTGGATCCTTGGATGGATCGACGATCATCTCGGTCGCCGAAACGGTTGGCGCGACGGTAGCGTTTGCGACGGTATGATGGGGTATTTGATGAATGCTAGTTGGCCCAGGGAATAGAATCCCAGCGAAAGATGTTTGAACGCTTCCGCTACTCGCACTGCTACTGGCCGGTGATGCTCCTGGATAGGCGACGATTTGTTGAGGCAAACGACCGGCCGTACCTCGACTAGAAAGATTTTCCGGTTGTTCCTCGGTCTCCTCATCCACCTCCATATCACCATCGGCCTCCAATCTGCCACTTATCTTACTATCCATACTACAATCTTCATAGGTTTGAGGTTGGGAGGGTGGGTTTACCGAAGAGGGAGGAGAAGCGAGATATCGCCTTGTCGTTTCTTCGAAATCTTCGGTCTCTTCTTCGACTGGTTCCTCGGTGTCCTCGGGTTCTTTCTTCGGCGTTATTCTATCGGTACCATCTCTGCTGGTAGGTCGTTGCTGGTATCTTTCCTGAAGGGGTGAACGCTGCTCCATTTTAATTTCCTCTTGCTCAAGTTGTTTCTGTTGTTGCTGTTGCTGCTGTTGTTGCTGCTGCTGTTGTTGCTGCTGTTGCTGCTGTTGTTGATGATTATCGTGGAAGGAGGAATGATGGGAGTTGGATAGAGCAGCCGGGGAAAGGGGCGAGGTGGCCGTCGGTACCGTGGTTACGGGCGGTTTACTCAAGTTTTCCGGTAATTCCTGGTCGTCGCGAGGATTAATAAGGGGAGAACGGTAAAGGGATGGCATTCCGGATAAGGTGAGAGGTATAGACAGGGGTGGCTGAGGAGGGAGAAATCCGTGGGCCGTAGCTGCTGGATGAAACGGGGGTGGATGATGCGAAGGAGGAGGCGGAGGTGGCGTAGACGGCATCGGCCTTTGACCCGAGGCTATCTGTTGAAGGAGAGGCGGGTGAAACTTGTCGAGATGCTCGGGGACGGGATTCGGGTTCATTTTAACGTGCGGAAATTTAGCCGTGTGTCTCTGGAAGTGGACCTTGAGGTTTCCCTTCGTTGTGAATCGGCTGCCGCAGACGTTGCATTTAAAGGGTCGCTCACCTGTATGGGATCGTATGTGGATCTGTAGGGCCGAGTCGCTGCCGAAAACCTTGCCGCAGTAACGACATCGGTGCTTGAAGAAATGCTCTCCCCTGCTGCCCCCCGATTTCGAGTCGTAAGGCGAAAGCCGAGAACCCTTGCCACCCCTGAAGGCGAGCTCGTCCGCGAGGTTATTAGCGAGTAGTCCTTGACTGGCATTGTCCAAAACCTCTTGAGCTCGTTTTTGTAGCATTTCGAGGGTGTTCGGTTCGTGTAGCGGCGGTGGATCCGTATTGGTTATTATCGAGGACGCCAACGAGGAACTTATAGAGCATAGCGGTGGCATTTGATGGGACAATGCTAAACTGCTACTATTATTACTCGTCGTTGGTACGCTCGAGGAGACGTTAGGCGTAGCTTGTAGCGGCAAATTGAGAGGAGAAGCACTGCTACTAGGCGTAGGCCGTTCTTGGGCCAGATTAGGCGTTGCCGGTGCCGGCGAACTTTGTTGCCGATGACTACTACTGCTTGGTGATTGGCAGGACGTCGGCGAGGTTAGCGTGGATATTGCTTTTGGATGCAGCACGGGAGACGGCGAAGCTTCCTTGCTGTTGTTGGACGGTTCGGCCGTCGATGATTGCGGCAACGATTGATTGTGAGTTATTGACAATTGTTGTTGCAACTGACTTATCAGCTGCAATTGAAAAACCTGCTGATGTTGCAGCGTGTAAAGGGTACTTTGCAAAAGGGCCAAGTCCTGTAAGGCCGCCTCGCTGTCCGCCCCGCCAGATAATGCAGTTGCCGCGAATTGAGCGACGGCCACTTTCGTATTTTGAAGGGCTTCGAGTGTGACGTGACTAGTACCGGCCGGTGGAAAGATCCCGCTACTCGCACCACCCTCAACGAAATTATTATTATTTTCTGCATCCTGTCTATGATGCATTTGTTTTCGCGTGCCTTCTTCGTCATCCTCCTGTTCGTCTTGCTCGTCAACGCCATCCTCGTCCTCATCCAATGGATCCTCTTGATCCTTCTCATCATCCTCTCCGTGATGATGCGTTCGGGCTGCTGTAAGATCAACAGCTTCGTCTCCTCCTCCACCACCGCCGCCGCTTTCCTCACCGTCCGATGTGAAATCATTTTCTTCCCCTGTAACAAAAAAATTCAAACCATTACCATTTAACTTACGCGATCTTCATTGTTTCTTCTCAACATCTATCATTTTTTTTCTTCTGATAAATTTCAATTATTTATTTGCAAAAATGTTTATGCAATCGTAGACTGCAGGTTATTTTCTTTTTTTTTTTTAAGTTTCACTTCGTGAACGTACATCAAGGACGTTAGCAAAACGATAACTTGTGGTTTCATATTATATTCAGGACATACATTGCAACCGTGATAGCATGTTAAATGAAGTAAGTATATAGATAAATATTTTCTCGAGCACGTCGGCGGAATCGTCGTAGTCTTTTATCGCAACACACGCGTCGGGTAAAATGTATAAAACTGAAAGAGAGAAGAGAGAGAGAGAGAGAGAGAGAGAGAGAGAGAGAGAGAGAGAAACGTGGCTTCGTAGTTCGTTTAAAACATTTCGTTTGGATGTTCACGTTTGAAATGAAAGGTACGATCGATTGGGTTATCCGTTTATTCAACAATTTGAAACACACATTTTTTTTCCACGAACACACGATTGGATCTACCGACCGAAGAGGGCCCATTTCCCATTTGTGTCAATGATACAACAAAAAAATGTAAAAGTTTGCTTATTAGTATTCTTTCCTCGAAGTGTTAAGCAGTAGCAATAGCTCACGATTAATCTTTCACACCATTTGCTTAATAAAAAAACAATAATTCAAGTCAATCACGCGTTCAAAGTGACCAATACTATAAACATTACTATTCTAATCGTCTATAATTATATGTGTACGTTTGTTCACTATTCTAACGGTTCACCTAATCGAATCTTTTAAACTGTCATTAAATTCAACAGAACACCCAACGTTGTTCTTGTTCATGTCATCACAGCACATTTTTCTTTTCTAAAAAATAAGAGAGGAATACAAAAAAAAGATTACAGCACCCACGATACACTGTCCATGTCTCACACTCCCCCCTCAACATTTCAAAGCATCCGACTCACGTGTTCTCGTAAAGAAAGTAGCAAAGGGCCAGTTTTTGAGAAAAAAAAAGGTCAGAGAAGAAAAAAAAAACACTTTTCCAAGTAAGATCAGTCGCGACAGATCATCCTCTAACTTAAAATGGGGACATCTAACAAAAAAAAAAAAGGTCAAAGAAAAGAAGGAACGCACTCCCTCCATTTAACAAAGCTTTGCTGCGCTCTCGTTTCTTTATATGTTGTGTGTGTGTATGTGTGTGTTCCGTACCGGAGGAGGATCGGCCGCCGGAATAAATCCTTGTCGCAGGTTGTTGGCAGCTTTTCTCTTGAGATGATTGCCTAATGCCACCACGGCACTCCAGGCGACGCGTTATGCTCCATCGCATGAGTTGCATGACGTTTAAGTCGTAGAAATAAAACACTTTCCTTCTTCAACTATTTGAAACCCACCTACTCCTTTACTGTCTCCACCACCACTTCCACCTGGTCCACCTCCCTACCCCCCCGTCCTCCTCCTCATCCACTTTATCCACGGCCGCCGCCGTGTTGTTCACTGTTCACTTCCGCTCGGCATTCGTGTAACTCGCACTTCACGGTCTGACCCAAGAATAAAGTTGAAAAATGTCTGGGTTCCTTTGCGTAGGTGTGGAATTCCTTTTTTTTTTTCTTCTTCTTTGTATAATTCTTATAGGTCACACTTCTTCTTTTTCTTTCTTTCACTTTCTTTTTCTCTTTGTAAAGAGCGCCAACTTGCAGCAAAGATCTTTGACAGAAAGGAGAAGAAATAGTAAGAGGAAAAACGGATGATGATCAGAAGTTGATGGTGGGGAGGAATATGAAGTGTTCCGTTCAGTATCTACTATAACTCGTAACGATCGAGAGAACGACGCGGCAGCGACGGGTTTGTGTTACGACCGGTGTCATCCAGCAAGGACGAAAACCGACTGATCGCTTGGTAAAGAAGCAGACTGGGCATAGGTGGTAGGATCGCGCAATACCCACTGCTGCTGCTGCTGCTGTACGCCGGCAACCTCATCCCCACCACATTGGGTTGTTCGTTGGGATCGCCAGCGATCGTGGTGGCGTCCCACTATCCGCGCGAGTTTCCACCACCACCATCAGTTTCACCACCACCACCACCATCGATAGCAGCAGCAGCAGCAGCACCCAGCAGTGTAGTAGTAGAAGTAGTAGAGGTATACTACCACCACCAGATGGATCCTCCACCTCTACTTCTACTTCCTCCACCACCCACCACTACTACCATCACTTCGTAAGTGGAGGTAGCAGCCGGCATCAGCAACCGTGGGCATCAGCGTACACGCATACAAAACACACACGACTCGACGACGTTGCTTCGGTTATGACAGGGAGGCGGTGCGGTTCATAAATCAGGGGAAAAGGGGCGGCGCTTGCGTTAGCCACTCACCGACGAGTTATTAATTATTATACCGCCGCCGTGTTCCTATGCACCCTTGCGCTTTTACCACCCACGCGATTCTCTGCATTGTTAACTCGTTTTCTGTCTCTCTTTCTCTCATTGCTGATGTTTTCTTTTCTTACTTTACGTTTCTCTCATTCCCCCCACCGGTTTCTTTCTTTTTCTGAATTACGATCAAGCAAGCAGCACACCCACGCGATTTTACGAGATTTCTTGGGACTCGGTTATGTAGTCAACTCCTCCTCCTATCGTAGGCCTCCTTCGCGATAAGCCAACAACAGGGAATCATAACTAGGTAGGACGTCGCCGGCTTATCCGTTTCCCGTGTGCGAAATAGCATTAACGCGATTAAGCGTTATCGAGTGCGAACATCGGCACTTCCTAAGGCTTCTGAGCTTCGATCTTACAATTAGGTTTAATTCTGAACTAGGCAGCACCGTCATCTTTCCATTTAAACGATAATAATGGCCGAACTGTGAACTCGTTTAAAATATACAATTCCCTTCACAATTTATTTCGTGTTCGTCTTCTTTATATGAACTCATATTTTTTCAATTTTAGAAAAATCTGATGACGAGGATAGGAATTCTAAAACTGGATCATCTTTTTCCTTCTTTTGTATCCATCTGTCATGTCGACAATAGTTCGACAAATGATTTTGTTGAAAAATCGATCTGATTTTAGGGCCTTCTTATAAATCATATTATTATAATTCTGATTGGGATCAGGAAAGGTAACATTTACAAGTAGGATTCTTCTATTATTCTTATTATTATATTTCCTTCTTTCTCTTCCTTTTCTTTAGGTTTGTTCAGGGGTTAGGGGGGAGCTGTCGTCGTCTTCTTCGTCGGTTCTTTAACATGTAGAAAATTTTAACAGACCCAATACAAACCAACCAACTAAAACTGACTTCTTCGTCGGGTGTCCGCGAATGGGCAACAATGCGATAATGGGTCGGAAGTCATATTTCACGTAAGACGGTCTCGCTGGCAGCAGCAGCAACAGCTTGTCCGTAGTGTTTCCTGTTTCAGAGGACTCACACATACATTTCGAAACTACGAATTTGCCTGAAACGGGCCTCCGGTGATAGACGATCTATATTGACTATTCTTTAAGGAAAAAAAAGGGGCTTAGGTATCTAGTTTGGGATCTATCGTGAACGTTTGGACAATGTGTCTCCTTTCTTCAACCTTTTCAACCAATATTTTGACCCTTACGAATGATGTTGTTACGTTGTTTATTCGTTATGTTACTTGGAAAGAAAAAGGATCCCAGTCACAACTCATCTACAAATGAATCAGAAAATAAAAGTTATTGTACTTTCTTGAAAACAAAAAACAATTCCAGTCACAATTTACCCCAAAAAGGGATTAGTAAAATCAAGACAACGATATTTGACAAATCAAGTGAAATATACAGTGTGTGATTATATATATACAAGAGTAGGGTGGTCCATTTGGTTAAATTCTTTTTCTTCGAGTGCAAGGTCGTCGTCGTTGGGATGGGGGGGGGGGACCTGAGGAGGGGTCTGCTGTTGGCTGGTCGATAAAAGTAATGACTGAAGAGAGGAGAGAAGGATGGATCGGGCCGTGGGGGTCGTTGCTCTCGTTAGTTTCGAGTCGCGACGAGTCACGGCGCATTCGTGCTGAATACAAAAGGGATTCGTATTCGTAGTGACGGGGTCGAGTCTTGTTTAAATAAGTTAGCAGCAGCAGCCAGCAGCCAGCAGCAGCAGTAGTGGCGAGTAGAAAGATGAACGGGGTAGGGGGGGGGTTAAGGTATATAGTATACGAAGAAGAAGAAGAAGGTGGTGAAGGAAAGGGTGGTAGTTGAAATAATAGTACTAGTAAGAGAGAGAGAAGAAGGGAGTTGAAGAAGAAGAAGACAAAGGTGGAAAAGGAAAGGGTAAGACACAGTGAGAGTGAGTAAGAGAGAGAGAGAGAGAGAGAGAGAGAGAGAGAGATGGATAGAAAAGTGAAAAGAGAACCCAAGGAAGAGTAAGAAGCTCGAAGCGAGGGAATTTGCACGTGGCAGCTCGTGATTGGCTCGCACCTGTCTCCTCGGACCGCCCTCTCTCGTTTGCGATCGTACGGAATGCCTACATACCTAATATGCTATCTCACTCTCTCACTCTCTCTGTGCATATACTCTTCTTGCGGCGTATATCGCGCGTGCATGCGAATGCACACTTTCTCGTTGAACGAATGCACGTATTATTGGGGGTGGGGGTGGGGAGTAGAAGAGAGGTGTTGGTGTGGCGTGTAATGAAGCACTACTACTAATACCATCACTACTACTATCAGAATTACCATTACTATTAAACAGTACCACCCCCACCCTATTTCAAAGAGCTCGGTGCACGCCAACTTCCCCTCCATTGGCGCCCTCGGCAAGGCTCGCGGACTCGAAGGTAGGGGAAGGAGTTAGGGTGGGAGGGAGGTAGTTGGCGCGAGTTAGCGGAAGGTTCTCTCTCTCTCTCTCTTTCTGTTTCTCTCCAGTCAGTTAAGGGGGAACCAACGGAGAAAGGGCTAGAGAGTAGATTATTATACTTTTGTGCATGTGCGGGGGAGGCTCGAAAGTAAAGGGCGGCCC